TTAAGCTAAACTAGGGGTGAGACTAATCACGGTGAATCTGGTTGATCGCCCATAACCGCGGGCACGGCTATTCGAATAGTTTTACTCTGGCCAGAGGTGTACAACTGTACCCACAAGACACGATTCCACACATGTCGCCATGCCCCGAAGTATCACCATGATACTGCAAAGGGGGAAATCGTGACAAGACCCTCCACATAACCCTCCCCTAACCATCCACACCACGCTAAGGTTTCACCCCCACCCCTCAAAAGGCAGTGGGCGGTCCCCTCTTGCGCCGCGGTGAATCCGGCAGCTGGACAACCGGACACCCCGGCCGACCCAACTCCATCACGCCCACCCTCGCCACCGGTGCCTAGGAAAGGGTCGAGCTATACTTCAGATCAAGCAGTTACCCACTCCCGCTTGTGGTAAGCACGGTAAGTCTCCCAGGGTTTCCCGTGAACCGGTCCTTAACTGCCATGGGTGCGACCAGCAAAACCATGCACCCACAACCCACCATTCAATGTATTTTAATTAACTAACACCATTGCGGTGGCACCAATCCAAAGCTATGCTCATAGTCAAAGTCTACGTAATAAGGTGATCCCCATTTGTGTGCTAGTTGAACTAAGCATGGCTAAGCATTTCCTAAACCAACATCTAGTCATTTTGATACCCAGGTTATCAATGGCATATGGTACAATAAATGGCTGAGTAATAGGACCCATTCCACATGACATTGTAAAAGAATGCAACATTTAATAGAAATGCAGGGTATTTGTAAATTGGGTACAATATGATCAAACGTATTGCATGACTTGCCTTGCTCTCGCACTGACGAGACCTCAGCAACGTCTTCGAGAAACCGCGGATCGACGAAACGGCCGAAACCTACGCGACAAACAAAGCACACAAGCAAAACATGCTATGAGACTACAGAAACAGGAAACAAAACCATTTTTAATGGATTCTTTGCATTTTTCTTGATTTACTGAGACTTGAATGGGCTTAAACGGAGCTCGGATGAATTACTTATGAATTTTAGAAGATTCACTGTGTTTATTACTATAAAAGAAATCCTTAAATAAATTATTACGCAATAAATTCCAGGGCTGACGTCAGCGCGGGGCGGCGCGGCGCCGACATGTGGGACCCACCGGTCAGCGGCACGGGAGAGAGAGAAAGGGGGCGGCGGCTCGCGGGCCCACCGGTCAGTGACACGGGGAGAAGGATGGGGCGGCGGCGCCACGTGGCGGCCGAACCGACGGCCCGGATCGCCCTCAGGCCGATCGGACGGACGACGGCGGCGGCAACCCCGGGCTCGGATCAGCGTCAAAGCCGATCGGCCGACCCGAGCTAGCGGCGGCGGTGCGGGCGCGTCGCGTCGCCGGCGACAGCATCCGGCGGCGGAGGCGACGCGAAAGCGGCGGCAGCGGACGGCGGCAACGACCCAAAACGACGGCGAGCGCGGGCGACGGCGACGCACGGGGAAACGGGGAAGGAGAGGAGAGGAGATGCCTCACCGAGGGTGGCCGGCGCGGAGGAAGGCGATGGCGAGCGGCGGCGGCAAGCCACGGGAGGCGACGGCGACCGGCGGACGAGCTCCGGCGTGCCCTAAGGAAGGAGGAGAGAGGGATTAGAGAGAGGGAGGTAGACCCCGGCGGTCGGATTCCATGGCCGAAGGCGGCGGTAGGGATGGCGCTCACCCGTGCACGTGGGGAGGGGGTTCCGGCGACGAACCTCGACGGAGGAGGGGCGGACGAGGTGGACCTCGGCCGCGCGAAGCTAACGGCGGCGACGGCGCAAGACGGCGGCGAGTCTAGCGGCGGCTAGCGGCGGCCGGAGAGCGGAAAGAAGCGGCGGTGGGTGGTTGCACGGCGCGGGGACGATGGGGAGCTCGAGAGGGGTCGGCGAAATTGGGAAAAAGAGAGAGGGGGCGCCGGCGATGCTTAAATAGGGGGAGAGGGGGTCGGACGTGGCCGGGAGCGGCGGGATTCGCCGGCCGACGTGGGGGAGTGGGGCGGAGAGAGAGACGGGATTCGAAATTCGAATCCCGGCCATCTCGGGCGCGGGCGGGAGCGGGAGAGAGAGGGGAGCGGGCGCGGGGAACGCGGCGCACGCGCGGACGTGGCCGACGTGGCCCGGGAGGGGCGGAGGCGTGGGCGCGGCAGCCGTTGCGGGCGCGGCGGCGCGCCGGGGTCGGCGGGAGGTGGGAGACGGGCCCGACAGGTGGGCCCCACCTGTCGGCGACCCCGAGAGGAGGGAGGCGGGCGGCCGGCTACTGGGCTGGGCCTCGGCCTGCGGCCGGCCCAGCAAGGAGGAGGGGGGGAAAGGAAAAGGGAAATGGGCCGACGGCCCATTTCGCAAAAAGGAGGAAAAAGAGGGGAAAAAGAAAAAGAAAAAGAAAAAGGAATTTCCCTGGAATTTAAAATTGCACTTGCTCCATTTTAATTGGTTAAAATTATTTCCAAGGCTCTGAAAATTCCACTAAAAATCCTGTTAATATATTGTGACATGTAGAATCCAAAAAAAATTCCACATGCCGATTCCGATTATTATTTGCATTTATTAATTAGGGAATTAGCTCTAGGTTAATTAAGATAATTTCTTCGGACGATTTATTTAGCCAATTTTTAAAGCAAGCAAAGGGGGGGAAAACTTCAGGGCGTGACAATCCTCCACTAGCAATAATTACGTACAAAACTTATATGTAAGCATGCAACATCATCTATAATTCATTGAATTCTACAAATCATGATCCAATCATCTTCCTCACATTATTTTTCACAATATTTTCAAAACACACACACACACACACACACATATATATATATATATCCATCATTTTTATAATATTTAACATATATTTATCAATATAATCAAAGTGTGGGATATAATATTTCATCTACAATCTCATACAGAGTCTACTAAATGCTATCTCTCTGAACATAGTTTGACAAACCTATTTTATTTGTTGTTAATAACTAATATAATGTTTACTTTTAGCTTGATTATAAAAAAAATTAAAAGTTACTTAGGAATTGTCGTAGCAAAGCGCGGGGAATCACCTAGTAGAAATAACTATTACTACCTCCACGTTTAGATTATTCTAGTAATAATTACACTTCATGCAACCAATAGAAATAGAGATCTTAGGGTAGAGGATTTGAAAAATGCCAATTAAAAGAAGAGGGATGTGCTAGTTAATTGCATGCATGCATGCATGCACGTCTTATACTATGAGATATAGAAAACATGTCTGTGCCTTATCCTATCTTACTGCAAAGGTGATGTCCACTAACTACTAAATCTTACCATACAAGTGTGTCACATCATCACCCACTAGCAATAATTATCTAGAGTATTTCAAATCACATGCAAGTATACCATACTATCACCTACTAGCAATTGTTATATAGAGTATTTTAAATATCGTACAAACATGCCATATCATTTACAATTTGTTATATTTTTAGAACTCAGTATGCAAGCAATGTCAAATCATTATCTCCACATCATTTTCACATTATCTAAACATATACATCTACCATTTCTATAATGTATAATATGTATTCATCCACATATGCTGCATCAATGTGCATGGTATCAACTAGTATTTTAGGATATAGGGAGCACTACACAATTTTGCCTTAATTATTATTACTACTAGTACCGTTGCGACTGCAGAATAGTTTAATCTCTTTTCCTATTATCGCTGTGGGAATTTTTTTAGTTTTTTCTTTGCTCCGATTATTTTAGGAGCACATAGCTATATATTTATCTGTTATTCTCTTAAGTTTAACATCATGTTGAAAAAGTTTGCAAGTTCACAACTCATAGGAATTGTAATGACAATGCTTCTTCCCGGATGCATGACTCCAACTAGAAAAATCAGACGACACACCCTCCCACCTCTCTCCTCAATCTCACTTTACATGCACTAACTTAATAGCAAAACTTTAAATACTTTTTTCTTCTAAACTATGTATCCGATATGTGATCCAATTATACCGTTGTATTCATTGCAATTAAATCTTCATAATAAGATCTCATATGACTATATGTTGATGAAAAATATGTTTAAGGTTTTTGTTGCTTTTTTAAATGTTGCAGTAAGTAGTTTTATTATGTTTAACTACGTCATCTGGAATGTTGCACGTAGTACTATTTTAATATTTCAGTAAGTATTTTGTCATAATTTAACTGATGCTTCATTAGGTCATTTGTAATGTTAAACACAGTGCTCTTTGAATGTTTCATTAGATATTTTTGTGATGTTTCAGTGAATACTTTGTTATGTTTCAGTTGTTATTGTGTGATGTTTCAGCAGTTATAACTTAATGTTTCAGTTAAAATATATATTTTTGCAATAAAATATAATCATATGATATCTCTTTGTAAAAATTTAATCATAACGAATTTAACGGTACAATAAAATTGTGAATTGGATAAGTAATTTGTAAAAAAAATGATTTACATCTTGCTAATTAGGTGTATAGAAGGAAAGAGAGAGTGATGGTTATGCAGATCAAATATAATCATGTGGGATCTCTTTATAAAAAAATAATCATAACGAATTTAATGGTACAATAAAATTGTGAATTGGATAAGTAATTTGTAGAACAATGATTTACATCTTGCTAATTAGGTGTATAGAAGAAAAGAGAGAGTGATGGGAAGGAAATAGAGAGAAATAAAGCATATATGCGGATGTGCTGCAGAGAGGTGCTGAGAGAAAATTGACATGCATGCTGAAAAAGGGCCCGATTTTTCTCAAACAAATCGGGATCCTAATTGTAATAATTGATCACAGTACAATATTTTCATTGCCACTTTCAACCATACCCAATTTAGTGAATAAACATATTCTTATCATCTCTATCTTATCAAATTTTGGAAGTTCCAAAAGTTTCTTCTCATAAAAATTCTACCAAATTTTGGGAATGTTTGAAACTAACATATCCATCACTACCAAAATTTGACAACATCAAAATATGCCAAAATTTAGAATTGCCGAATGTTGGTAATGTGACAAAGTTTAGGAATATAATGACATGGCCGTGGGTATCCCTGAACGTTACTCTCAAGTGCTTCCTGAATGACTTCGCAGGTTTTCGGCACTGAAAGCGTGAACGAGATAAATGTACCACGTAACTATATATGGTTCGATATATTGAACCTCAGACTCAGAGACCGGCGTACAAATAGAGTTATACATAACTTGGATTTTACATAATCCCAAATAAATACGACAGAAACTAATCCTATCATAATATAACAGCCGAATCCTGCACGCTACCCTTATACTCTACCGGTACAAGCAGTAGCTTTTCCTTTAGCTGCACTGACAACCCGAACGCTTCAGCCATATCAATGCCATCTTTATCTATGGCTGCTTCAGCTGAAACATCCCAGTCAAAATGGTACAGAAGGTTTGCTAGGATGATCTCCATGCTCGCAGAAGCAAAGTTTATTCCAGGACAGATCCGCCGCTTGCGCCAAACGGCAAGAACTGGAAGTCTGTCCCTATGAAGTCTACGTTCGCGGCACTTCCACCATCAACAAACCTCTCAGGCAAAAACTCCTCTGCAGCTTCCCAAGATTCAGAGTTCCTTCCAATAGCCCATGCATTGACGATGACACGTGTCCCCGAGCGAACTGTGTAGCCATCAATATCACAGTCAGCCATCGCGAGATGTGGGACGAGAAGAGGACTTGGTGGATGCAACCGAAGTGTCTCCTTGATGACAGCCTTGAGGTAGGTCATGTTGGTCTGATCACATTCAGTGATCAATTCTCGTCCCTACTTGGGTATGTTCGTTCTTAGTTCGGCCTGCAACTTGGCCATGAGATGTGGCTTCTGCATAAGCTCGGCCATGGCGAATACTAGCACCACTGATGTCGTCTCCGTACCGGCTTGAAACATGTCCTGCAAATTAATTTCAACAAATATATATATCACATTTATGAGATGTGAATAACTCCTAGACACGAAATGAGAAAACTGCTTTAATTACTCACTACTAGAATTGCTTTAAGGTGATCTCTGGTGATGCCTCGCTCTTGAAGGAGCAAAACATCTACGAAGTCCATCTCATCTTGATCATCATTGCCTCTATCATGCTCACATGGTTGTTTGCTCATACGATCATTGATAATCTCGTCGAGCAATTCATCCCACAACTTCCTCGTGTTCCTGGCCTTGGCACACATCACCCACGACACAGCTTTGAGCCTTGCCAAGCCTGGGTAGTAGTCCTCTAGGTTAAACCCTGCGAGGAGTACATAATTTGCTTTGAACAGTTGACGGAACATTTTGTTTCGACCTTTGTCCCCTTGGAAGTTCTTCCCCGACACAAGGCGGCATATGAGGTCATTCGAGTAGGTGCTGAAGAGCTCAAACATGTCCACTCCCATACCCTTGGTGGATAACTCATGGACTTTGGTCATTACCTTATGCACCTGCCAACCAAATATAAATTAAAATATGGTAAAAGTGCTCCATCCATTTCATATTACTACCTTTGTTCCAAAATATAAGGAATTTTGGGTGGATATGACATATCCTAATACAATGAAGCGGATAAAGAGCCTGTCAAGATTCATAATACTAAGGATATGTCAAATCCATCAAAAATCTCTTATTTTAGGGCAGAGAGAGTAAAAGTTGTCTGACTCTTTATCTTAGTCAAACTTATTTTGGTTTGACCAAGTTCATATGAAAAATAAACAATATTTACAACACTAAAATAGTTTCATTAAATTTAAGATTGAATATATTTTGATAATATGTTTGTTTTGTATTGAAAATGTTAGTATATTTTTCTATAAACTTGATTAAACTTGAGGAAGTTTGACTAAGAAAAAAGTCAAACGACTTTTAAAATGAAATGGAGGGAATACTTTAAAAGAATTAATGTACGCAATTGTATATATAAAATCTTAGTTTTGCCTGCTTGGCTTGAGTTGCAGATTATAACCGTAGCTGATTTTAAATTTTTTAATTAGATGTTAGGACTAATTAATAGATCGAGATCACGTCAATATTATGGTCAAATCCATATATATATAAAACCATGCCAAATTAATAGAAACGGATTTTTGATTGTTGGTCTCTCTTTTTTTTTTTGCTGCTGTGATGCATTAACTGAAATGATCAAATACGTTTCTATTGGAAAAAAAGGCTGATTAATCAATATGGCTAGAATTTGATGTACCCTCTTACCATATCTCAATATAAAATCAATCCTCTGATTTTTTTTTAGATAATCATTCACAAGTCAATATAGATATAATACTCAATCCTCACTTCATTTTAGACCTGTATATGTATATGTCTATGTGTTTGTAAGAAAGAGTATTATAATAATATGTATGCAGATAATCATGTACCTCCTCTTCTCGTGCTACATGGTACGACCGCACCTTCTTGTTGGTCAGCAGGTGCGTTGTGACGATCCTCCTGCTCCGCCGCCACTGCTCGCCGTAAGGCGAAAGCCCGACATCGGACGGGCCGTAGAGGAGTATGTCGCCGATTAAAGAGTGTGGCCGTGACGCAAAGACATGGTCATGCGTGCGCAAGACAGCCTCTGCGGCGTGTGGGGAGGAGACGACGAGGTTCTGGACCTGGCCGAGGTGGAGGAGCATGAGGTTGGGGCCGTACCGATGAGCGAGCTCACGAAGAGAGACGTGCGGGAGGTCACCGATGAGGTGCAGGTGCCCTATGATGGGTAACCTCGGAGGTGAAGGTGGGGAAAGATGATTCCTCGTTTCCTTGCAGGTTGTTGGTGTTCTATGATTTGTTGCCAAGTAGTGCAGTGCTAGGAGAAGGAATGGGAACAAGGCTAGGATCCAGGGAAACATTTCGTTTTGGAAGAGTTGGTACACTAGTCCAGCTGCTTGTTCCATGGCTGTTTGCAGTGCAACGAATCTAGCTAGCCAGCTTTTGCTGGTTTCTATAGCCTGCAGAGCAGTTAGACGACAAAATGAAACGACCATCATATCACTTGACAAAATGGAAATGTTTGTTTTTTTTTTCAAAGGTACGGTTTTCTTTTACATAATGAAAATGATGTGGTATATAGCTAATATGCTTAGATGCATGTTAAAAAATAATAAAAAAAAGATGGTTGGACAAACCTCTATCTCCATCTAAATGATAAGAGTAAATTCCTTGTGTGCCCCTGAAAAGTTACCCAATCCCTTACATGCCTCTGAAACTTACTCGATTCCTTCTATACCCCTAAATTTTCGATTGGATCCCCTACATACCCCTACCGTTTGGGTTCCGTCAGATTTTGTGTTCATGTGTGTGTTAGCTTGTCAGTATTTTCATAAAATGCGAAAATGCCCCTGTCAACCCTAGGTAACACAGGGCCACATCCGATCCCCAAATCCTCCAAAATAGTTCCCACACGCACGGTGCCGCACATCGCCAGCTTTCAGCCATCGTTGCACGCGCATCGCCGCCCTTCTCCCACATCCCGGCGGCGGCAGCGGCTCTGCATCCCGCCGCGGTCTCGGCTCTGCTTGCGGTCGGCGGCGGCGGCTGGGTCCGCATCCCATCGGTGGCGTGGCGGGGTCCGCATCTGGTGGGCGGCGGCGGCTTTGCATCCTGCCGCGGCGACGAGTCCGCATCCCGCCGCGGCCTCGACTCTGCTTGCGGTCATGGCGACGCCGTCTCCTCCCTGCCTCCTCCGCGCCCTCCCTCTTGTCACCTCACCCTCTTCTCGGGGGGCTCCGACACCGGCCTATTACCTCCTTGCTCCGCTGCTCCTCGCCGTCGGTAAGATACACCCTTGCGTTGATTAGCAAAATGCGAATAGCTGCTGCTGCTAGTGTTTCTTCATTAATTTGTTTGACTTTATGCAGGCAGATGCCTTGAACTGTTATGGGCTTGTGCCATTATGCTCATGATGTAAAAAGTAATATATTTGTGTACTGCTGATGGTGTATGAATGCTTTTAGATGTATTTTCATTTTCTTCCTATTAAATGGTGCTACCGATGCTCTTGATATGCTGATGAATTGCAATGGTGTTTGAGTAAACGGGTAGGGGTACTGTCTTTTACCCCCAGGCTGTGTCGGTTAGTGGTCATGAAAGATCCAATGTCATGTTATATTTTTTTATAAAATACTGAATGCTATAACAAAAGAAAATGAAATTAATTTTATGCACTATTTTTTTAGTCTCACGGAATACATACTGTGCAGTCATGAATGTTTCAAACCCAGCTGCCAAACATGTTCTTAGTTTTCAGCTCCTCCAACCTCAAGGGTATTATAGACATTTTCAACCAAACTAACCAGGGAATGCTGCTAAATCTAACGGTAGGGGTATGTAGGGGATCCAATCAAAAATTCAAGGGTATAGAAGGAATCGAGTAAGTTTCAGGGGCATGTAAGAGATTGAATAACTTTTCAGGGGCACACAAGGAATTTACTCAAATGATAACTACTAGCTGATATAGCAATATAATTTATGCAAGTGTACTACTTGCGATTATTATAATGTTCCTGCAAATATTAGCATATATATATATTTGTCTAGATGTTTTTTATTATTAGAAGTCGACATATCACCGTGGGAACACTAAATTAACCAACACAATCCATATATCTCCTACCAAAACTATCATCATCATCAACGACTTGAGCAATTAATTATTAATTTCAGGATGGGTTTGTGGACCAACTTTGAAGAAATTGTGGTTGCCAATTTGCCACCAACTTATTGAGTTATAACTTTCGACACTACAAGGCATTTCCTGTATATTTATATGGAAGAGCAAACGTGTTTCTTTTTTTTAAGGGAAAGGGATTGGGATTCCTCCGCTTTACAGGCCAAAATGTGAGTGACTTCCGATTTTCCATAAGGGTTTTTGGTTGGGACCTGATGGTAGCGGATATACAGGATTAACAGTCAGCACGTGTGTACATACATACATACTCCCTCCATTTCAGGGTATAAGTTCATAGACAAATATAGTAATATTTATAATACTAAATTAGTTTCATCAAATCAATAATTGAATATATTTTTATAATAAATTTATCTTGGGTTAAAAATGTTATTACTTTTTTCTATAAACTTAGTCAAACTTAAAGCAGTTTGACTTCGACCAAAGTCAAAACGTCTTATAACCTGAACGGAGGGAGTACATACAAAGATATGTATGTGTACATATATATACACACACCAATATGGAAGGATTTTCTTTTCTCGTCCGTACGTGCCCCCTCTCCTCCCTGCGCCCCTCCTCCGTAACGCCCCCCTCTCCTCCCCGGCAGCCCTCTCCACCTCCCCCATGTGTTTCATCCTTTAATTCATTGTAAAAATCAATTCCTCACTCCTTTGTCATCATCTTTCTCATGATTTCTCCTTTCAATTTGGCTTTGATTCATCGGATTTAATCTCCGTTTAATCAAACTATTTGCGGAATTGGGCTGCGACAATTTGGATGCAGATTCGCTCCGATTTTAGGGAAACGGAAAAAGAGGAGGTCAAGTGGATCAAATGTCCTTAACCAATTTTGGAAGATCGAAAAAAAATAGGCCGATTTGATGGGGAGGATTGGCTCCGGTATTGTACAGGCACAGGGCTGTCATCCGGAGGTTGAAGATGCTAATGTAGCATCCGGGTATGGCTTGACAGCGAGAGAAGGATTGTGCTAGCTCGGCTCGCAGCTCCACTTATGGTCTGGGTTGAAGAGAGACTGGTCGAGCGGAGGAAGGTATGAGGCAACAGATTGGGCTAGGGCTAACAAATAAGAAAGGAATGGGCTTTTGGTCAAAACCAAGGAAAAATTTTAATTAACTTTTCAATTATAGTGTATGACTTTCTTCAAGAAAAAATTAGTGTATAACGATACCCGATGTTTCAATTTATTGCTTAGCTCATAATAGCTGTTGTACCATGAAAAAACCGTCTTTACCCGTTGCAATGCATGGATATTTTTTTATATATCCAAAAAAACAGTAACTCTCACCAAAGATAATTTTACAATGAGTAACTAAAACATCTGTTCTACCACATGAAAGGGACCATTGATATTCAATTTTTTTTATATTTTAGTGTTGTAGCCTATTTTTTATGACAATTATTTCAGTCAATAGTCTAGCCGCGAAGTAACCTTATGCAAGTACTTTTCAGAGCCACGTACTTGCTCCGATTTTGGGTATAACTATAAAGGCATGATGAGAACACTAACCTTATGCGCGCTGCACATCGTAACCTTGAGGCAACGATTATGCAGCTTTTTACCAACTTCGGATGACGGTTCACATATAGGCTTCAATAATTGTGGGATCTTTGTCCAGTGTTGGTGGTCATTAGTTTGTGCTTTGTTTCCTGTTTCTTGGATATGCTATTATGGACTTCTTGGTGTGTGCTCATTGTTGGGTGCATTTTGTAATAATTGGTTGTAGCTCATTGAGCAAAGGCCAGAATTTTATTTGTCACGACCGGAAATAACCCAACGGACGTTCCTTACGTGCGTGTATTATTCCTTATCCCAGGAGGCAAGGTACACCAAAAGTTGATACAATTCAGAGTTTAATCAAGCGGAAGCGTAAATAGATAATTATTACATGGGCAATGAAGGCCCAGCACACAGAAAGACAACGGCAAACAGCAGAAGACTAGGGCGACGACCACAGGCGCTTGACGGCAGGCACGAGCTAAACACCAAAGCCTTCATCATCCAGGAGCTCCTCTTCTGGGTTTGGAAAAAATTGAGCAAGACTGAGTACAACCACCGTACTCAACAAGACACACCCACAAGTGCAACATAAATGCAAAGGAGTACAATGGTGTTATAGTATAGGGGTTAGGTTTTGCAGTAAACAACATTTAAAAGAAACTTAGTTGCTCAAAGCTAAATTTTAAAACACGATCCTAGAACTATTTAATATAATTAAACAAGGCCGTGAACCCACACAAACCTGTCTTAACCCAAGGCCTACGATGATTCAGACCGAACTGGCAACCCGACCCTGGGTCCCAGCTCGTCCCAAGCCAACCCAGGCCAACCATTCCACATTTTAGTTGTTAAGCAGGTTTTAAGAATTAAAAACTCTAACTTGGGTACATTGCTAGGCTTGCCCATAACCAAGGGCGCGGCTATTCGAATAGGTTTTACTCTGATCCGAGGTGTACATCTTTACCCACAAGACACGTCTTTCTCACGTGCAACCACGTGCCACATACCACCACGGCATATGGACGGAAGATATGACATAGTTTCCAACCCATCCTAGCCATAGACAAGAGTACCGACCCAACCCCACCTACGGTCGGAACCTCCGGGATAGGTAGGCAGGACTGAGCCCCTAGCAGCAGGACACCAGCCCTGTGCCATGACATCTTGACTACCGGGCCGCAGCGCGTGTAGCCTTCATTTGTCCTAGAGATGTCCATCGACCCCCGACTTCATCCATCTCCATCCGTGCACTTTTGTTTATAACCAGACTAAGCCACAAACTAAGCCTTACCCACTAGACATGTGGAAGTACGGTAGTGCTTTGCAACAGAGGCCCGAAGACCGGTCCTTATGTGGCCGAGGTGCCACTATCAAAACCATGCACCCCGAGCCTAGCCTAAAACCATTTTAAGGGTTTTGAATAGAGAGGGAGGTGTGCATCCAATTCCACAATAATCCAACCATTCCATAATGTCCAAGTGATATGAATATTCCCAAAGTCTAAAGTTATAAAACCACCTAATGTTGTCTTATTACCTAGCGAAGCATCTACCTAAATTCATACTAGTGGAACCATGAGTAGAGTACCCACTAGTTGGGGTTTTGTTATTCTAGGGTGAACAAGGTAATAATAACAATAGCAATAATAAGGTCATAACAAAGGTAAATAGGCATGGCTAAATAAAACAGTGATAACGCGGGAATTTAAGTAAAGCGATAATGCAATAATTTAAATCAAAA